GATGTTTCTGGTTTTCTGCCCTGCCTGGGAGGCCTACTAGCAAGGTAAACAAGGGCCAAGGACGGCGGTGATCACCGGCAGAAGCCTCATCAACGGCTGGCAACACCTTACGCCTCTTCTGATCACCACCAGCGAGAACACTGAATCGAATCAACAGTGCAACGGCAAAAGCAACAACAGCTGTGTATCCTGCGGGGATCCCACACACACACTCTCTTTCTGCACATTCTCCTCTCTCACGACGACCACCACGACCAGATCAGAGGCAGACTTCAATCTTTCCAATCTCTTCTGAACATCTGCCTTAGTTTACCTTTTGCCTGGTGACGGCAGTGTGTGGTGAGAGGACGAAGAGAAGGACGAGGACGAGGTGGGGGCTTCGTTTTCTGCCTTTCCCTCCTGATGGACTACTGCTGCTGCTGCCCCATCTGCACCAGGAGGATTCACCACCACCAGCACCACCAGTTATCATTACAGCACTGTTGAAGGGGAAGCCAGCAACAGCGACAGCAGCAGCAGTAGCAACACTGTTACTGTCTGGCGGTGATACCAGCACCAGCGCTTTTATGTTATTGTTACTGTGTTGCTGTTCACTCTTGTTACCACCAGCTCTATCACCAACTCCATCATCACCATCACCCCATCACCATCATAATCACCCCACCACCACCACCAGCACCTCAACTCCTGAAAGATGCCTCTTCCCAGCACCAGGTACGTACCAAATGGTTGAGGAGAGAACAGGCAGCCCAAGCTGTCTGAGGAGCCTAGCCTAGCCCAGCCAGCTGGGCTTCGCCGCACACATCTGTTGTGAACACAGGGTCTGTGAAGCGTGACCTCCGCCGAAATAGAACTTGACTTGACTCCACTGGACTCCTCAGTTGACAAGTCCACCACCACCAAAAAGCCAATCCAAGATGGAAGCCGAACACTCCACTCACCCTAACCGTCCCCAGCTAATCTCCTCCTCCTCTCTCCTTTCCATTTCCAGCGGCCGCTGGTTCCACCCGAACATCTTCCGCGTCGATGCGGAGAGGCTGCTGATGGAGCGCATGGACGGCAGCTTCCTCGCCCGGCCCAGCAAGTCCCACCCGGGCGACTTCACCCTCTCCGTCCGGCGGAACGGCCAGGTGACGCACATCAAGATTCAGAACACCGGCGACTTCTACGACCTCTACGGCGGCGAGAAGTTCGCCACGCTGGCGGAGCTGGTGCAGTACTACACGGAGAACATGGGCCAGCTAAGGGAGCGGCACGGCGAGTTCATTGAGCTGAAGTACCCCGTCATCTCGCAGGACCCCACCTCGGAGCGGTGGTTCCACGGGCCGCTGTCGGCGAAGGACGCCGACAAGCTGCTGGGCGACAAGGGCAAGAACGGCAGCTTCCTGGTGCGGCAGTCGCAGTCGAAGCCCGGGGACTACGTGCTCTCGGTGCGGACGGAGGCCGACAAGACGACCCACGTGATGATCCGCCGCTGCGAGGACGGGCGGTACGACGTGGGCGGCGGCGAGCGCTTCGACAATCTGACCGACCTGGTGGAGCACTACAAGCGCAATCCGATGGTGGAGACCACGGGGACGGTGGTCCACCTGAGGGCGCCCTTCAACGCGACGAAGATTGCCGCCTCCACGATAGGGAATAGGGTGAAGATACTCAGTGAGGAGAACTACGGCAAGGCGGGCTTTTGGGAGGAGTTTGAGGTAGGTTTTGTGGGAGTTTTTTTAGTAGAATAATAACGTTCTTTTTTCCATAACAGTTCCTGCAGCAGCAGGAGTGCAAGCACATCTACTCGCGAAAGGCCGGGCAGAAGCCGGAGAATCGGACCAAGAATCGCTACAAGAACATTCTTCCCTGTAGGTTTATTTTTACTTGTTGATCTCTTTTTCTAACTACTTTTTCCCTCTTTTAGTCGACTTTACCCGCGTCAAGCTGAAGGCCATCGATCCGAGCGTGCCCGGCGCCGACTACATCAACGCCAACTATATCAAAGTAAGTCGGAGGTGCTTTTAATTGGATAAAAAGGCTTTCCATTAACCTTCCATTATCATCACCATCTGCAGGGAATCGAAGACGAGACCACTGGGGAGCTGGTGAAGAAGACGTACATCGCCACGCAGGGCCCGCTGGCCAACACCAAGAACGACTTCTGGGCGATGGTCTGGCAGGAGGGCACGGTGGTGATCGTCATGACGACGAAGGAGTTTGAACGGGGCAAGAACAAGTGCGTCCGCTACTGGCCCAACGCTGGGCAGGCGGCCGAGTACGGCCGAGTCACCGTGAGGACGGTCAATGAGAAGCCCACCGTGGACTACATGCTGCGGGAGTTTGAGGTGAGCTACACCAGCAGTCCGGCGGTGCTGGCCGAAGACGGCTCGACGGTTTCGAAGATGGAAACCACGGAGACGAGGACCATCTACCACTACCACTTCACCGCCTGGCCGGACCACGGCGTGCCCGCCGACCCGGGCTGTGTGCTGAACTTCCTCCACGAGGTGAACCGGAAGCAGGGCAGCCTGGACGAGGCGCGGGTGGGGCCGATTGTGGTGCACTGCAGCGCCGGCATCGGCCGCACCGGGACCTTCATCGTCATTGACCTGCTGATTGACACCATCAAGCGGATTGGGCTCGATTGTGAGATTGACATTCAGCGGACGATTCAGGCGGTGCGCATGAAGCGGAGTGGGATGGTGCAGACGGAGGCGCAGTACAAGTTTGTCTACCTGGCGGTGCAGCACTTTATTGAGACGCTGCAGCAGCGCATCGTCGCCGAGCATGTAAGTACAAGTTGAAAAAATAGGTTTGAAAAGGAGTTTTTGAGGTTTTTCTAAACTTCTTTTTTCTTCCCTCCCTTCGCTTCCTTTGAGCAGAAAAGTGCCCAGGCGGGTCGCGAATACACGAACATCAAGTACACCAACGAGGTCGGGGACAAGTTTACCGTCAATGGAGTGCCGGCGCTGGCCGCCGCCTCCTCCTCTTCCTCTTCAGCCTCTTTAGCCACTTTAGTCTCTACCGGAACTTCCGCCTCTTACCTAACGGCGCCTTCAACCAGTCCCACACCTCCCAACCTTCTCCCAATCAGTCCCAGAGGAGTAGAAGGAGCTGGTTCAGCGATGATCACCACCTCACCCTCGTCACCCTCCTCCTCCTCCTCGGGAGTTGCAGTCTCCATCCCATCATCTGCCACCATTGTTCCTCACCCGCCCACTGTTCCGCCTCGAACTGCCTGTCGAGGAGGAGGAGGGGCGGGAGTGGAACCTTCTGAGGCCTATGAGAATATGCAGGCAAGCAACAGTGGCGGCAATGGAAATCGAACACTAACGCGGAACAGTGCCACTCGAAACTAAACTAAACTAATCTGAGCACTGCTCAACTACTAGAAAGAAAAAATGAAGTACAAAAGCATCAACAAAGGGCATTCAACCATCATCAACCAGGGCCAACTGCATTATCATCACCCTCTCATCACCCNAGGAGGAGCGGAACCGTCTGAGGCCTATGAGAATATGCAGGCAAGCAACAGCGGCAATCGAACACTAACGCGGAACAGTGCCACTCGAAACTAAACTAAACTAAACTCTGAGCACTGCTCAACTACTAGAAAGAAAAAATGAAGTACAAAAGCATCAACAAAGGGCATTCAACCATCATCAACCAGGGCCAACTGCATTATCATCACCCTCTCATCACCCTCCTCATCATCCTAATCAGCCTATATTATCTTTCAATTTCTATTTTCCCTATTCTCAACTCTCATGTGCCCCTCTTCTCATCTCTGTCTCTGAATTGTCCGCTACTAGGCACCAGTGAATCTGTGATAAGTTATCAAAAATACTGTTTGTTAAGACATCACCAACCAATTGGCGCAATTCTCTATTTCTAATTCTGGTTCGCCGACTCCCGACCGGCGTCTAGGTCACCGACGACAGACAGTGTGGGCAATTTTGAGCAGTGTGGAGCAGTCTGCAGACGGCAACAACTGAGTGCTCGAACAAAAAGGAAGTGCAGGAAATGCTGAACAGAACAGAACAGAGAGGCGACCTCGCCTTTGCTGCCTTTGCTGCTGCACATAAAGGAAGCAGGAAAAGTGAGGAAAGAGAATATCAGCCTCCTATCAGTGTCTCCTCTCCCACTCTTCTCCGGTGTGTGAGCATTGGGCTGTACGACCACTACTGCTGCTGCTGTACAATACACTGCCTTCTACACTACCTATCTTCAGTGAGCAGTGTTCCAGCAGCAGACAGCCCAACTGAACTGAACTGTGGCCATCTGCTGCTGCTGAGTTGCGTGCCAAGGCACATTTTGCTCGAAAGAGAGAGAGAGAGAGAGAAAGCACTTTACTCTCTCACTCGGTGACCGGGAAGATGAAGTGGTGGTGGTGGTGGTATTAGATGAAGGGGACAGAATGAGCTCGGTTGCTGGAGCTCTTTTGCTGCAGTTGCAGCACTCTGTGCTCTACATTGCGCCTGCATGGCGCACTGGCTCTCTCTTTCTCTCTCTCGCTTTCTCTTTGCTGTGGCTGCCGACAACGCCCAAGATTGTGGCAGTGTGGAACTGTGCACTACTGCTGTTACAGGCAGTGTATTACTACTACCAACAGTGCTGCTCTTTGCTATATTGCTGCTCCCACACTCACTTCAGCTTGGACGAGCTCATCTGTCGGTGGAGTGGGTGAGCGTGAGAGAGGGTGAGGGCGAGGGTGAAGAAGCAGATGAGAGAGGGTGAGCAGCAGCAGCAGTGGACAGGACAGTCAGTGCCTAGGACTCGAGGTCATCACCTCGGCTCAGTTTCGGGTCAGCTTCGGAAAGGATCAGCAGTGGAGTTTTTTCTGGTCAGCATTTGGTTTTCAGGACGATCTGAGTTTCGAAATAGAATTTTGCTTGGCCCCAGCAGTGTGGCCACAGTTGGCCAAGGTGTGTGTGTGTGTTCACTATTCCCTCGTACTCGGGCGGCGCCCTCTCCATACCAGCTCACCACAGCAGCAGCAGCAGACACCAGACAGGGGTAGTGGCACTGGCAAAGGATAGTACTGAGGCACTGTGAATCCTGGTTAGTTGGCGGCGGCGTCGTCGTCGTGGATCCTTCACTGGCGCCGGTGGGGCATCACCACCATCAGTGCCGCCGACCGTTACTCAAACAGTAGTCCACAGTTTTCCGCTATTTCCACAGCGGCGAGCTCCACACAGTGCAGTGGATTCCACTTTGCGCCTGTGTGTGTGTGTTTGTATCCTCGGCGGCTCTGGCTGTTGGCTGGAGTACTCTCACTCTTCTTTGCTTTCACTGCACCCAATCCGTGAGAGGATACACGGCGATACTCTACGGCACTAGCACACACAGTGAACCACTACCACTGGAGAAAGTACAGCACACTATCCTATCCTATCCTATCGTGTCCTGTCCTCCTCCTCCTCTTGTTCCTTGGCTCCTTGGATCGAGAGTGCCAGCCAGCACACTGTGTGTTCTAAGCAGGCAGCCAACCAGCTCCCCTACCACTACCACCACTTCGTCTGCTTCTTCTTCCACTGCTGCTGCCTCAAGAACTTCGTTCGCTAGTGATCACCACCACCACCACCACCACCAGCAGCTCCTCTACCAGCATCATCACCACCAGCAGCAGCAGCAGCCCAATCAAGAGCCGAATGATCCCCCTCTCTTCACCTCTCTCTCTCTCTCTCACTCTCTTTCGGTTCAGCAGCAGCAAATAGAACAAAACAGAAGCCGTCAGTATCAGCAGCAGCCACCAGCAGCCTCGCCGACCTCGACCTCGACCAACACCACCACCAGCACCACCCCCTCATCACCACCACCGAAAGTGCTGGCCACGATCACCACCACCGACATCGTGTCGTCGAGGATCAGCAGCAGAAGAAGAAGAAGCAGCAGCAGCAGCAGCCGCCTCTCGGCTCCAGGAGAACAGTTTGTGTGTGTGCTGTGTGTTGCTGGCTTCGGGCCCGTTAAGCTTCAGCTACCTACTACCTAAGCAGCTGCGGCGGCCTGTGTTTGTTGTTTCGATTCTTGTTGGAGTAAGAAGAAGAAGAAGACCCGTACTTGCTTCGACTTGCTGACACTGATACTAGCTGACCACCAGCACTGCTCACCACCACCACCACTGGACTTGATTCCCTTCCCACTCTCTTTTCATTATCACCACCTCCTCCTTTGCTAATCACACCTGATTCTGCTCACCGCCCAATTCAACACAGCTGCGAAGAGAGATCATCATCACCAAACAGACACTAGCATCGTTGCTCTGCATTTCCACCACCACCATCATCAGGTATTTACCACTGCCGGACCGTTACTGATCCCCCGTTGTTTTCTTTTTCTTCTTTCCACTTCTACTCTATTCTCTTGGTCTCGGGCCAACTCTTTCCACTCTGACTCACTAACTCCTCACCGCTTCGGATTGGACGATGATGATGAGTGATTCGCATCAGCTCAGCAGCGCACAAACATTCATTGAATATGCATCCGCTCGTGTGTGTGTGTGTGTGCTCATCCATCTCCTCCGAAGTGTGTGGCGCACTTTAAACTTCCTCGTACAGCTGCTGCTGCTGCTGTTGCCAAGTTAGCCGTACAGCCAACAGCAGACAGAGGATCCCAATCCCAATCCTGCAGCTGCAGCATCATGCATATCATTACTGAAAAAGGGCTGCTGATGCCATAGTTGTTGTTGTTGTTGATGATCTTCGTCGTTCATCTGTTTATCCTGCTGCTGCTGCTTGCAAATGGATGACCTGACGACACTTTGACGGCACTTCCTTTCACTCATGTGACCTTCTCTCTTTCTCTCGCTCTCACTTCGGTGTTGTTTATCACGAGCACCAGGAGTGGGCACACACTGTCTGTTTTTGTCGTGGTGTCTGCCACGAACGCCGAGCTGTGTGTTCAGTCGGTGCACACACTTGCTTACCAGCAGCACTGGCACTACCTCCACCGACTTCTTCTTCTTCTTCTTCGATTTATTATTAGTCCTCTGACTGAGATGTGATGTGAAAGCATGACCAGGCATCGCCCTTCCTTCATTAGTGCGGTGGTGACTTCAACTTGAGCACTTTACTTTACTTTATTTCATTTACTGCTTCTGCTTTTGTTGTACACTTGTGCTTTACCTGCCCTGTTTTAGCAGACAGGTACCACAAGTGCTACGTGTGTGTGTGTTCTTCTCTAGCACACCGATGGGGATAATCGCTGCTGCTGCTGCTGTTGCTACTGACTATTATCCACTGAAGTTAGGGTTTAGGAATCAGGAGCAGGTAGCACACTGTCTATCTGTCTGTCTGTCTTGTAAGGATCACACTTCTTTGACAGTGCCTTACATCATCAGATCGCTGCTCAGACCGGTTGTGCACCACTACTGTGATGCATCACACCACTTTCACCATCACCGGCAAGCTAACTGGTTTCCAAACAGACAGGCAGGCTTGCATCTACACACAGGCATTTTATCTTGAAGTGAAAGGGAAAAGAGTTGTGTACATCAGAGTTGCTTTCTTTTGCCGGTGTTCAGTAGCTGTGTAGTTGTTGCAATTGCCCCCTTAGGCTTTCTCTTGGCTCCTAAAACTCCTAATCCTATTCTTACGAATAGGCAGAAACGGCTACACAGTCCCGGCGTCTAGTTTAGTCTTCCTCCTCTAGTTTATCTCCACCGGGAGTTTATTGAGTCGGGTTCACTCCTAAATCTTTTTCTCTCTCAGCTTTTGATAGCTTTTTCTGAAATAGCTTTTGATGGTAGTGTCTGCCTGTCGAAGTTGCTGCCGCCGCCGCAATTATGAAGTTGCTGCTGCTTAAGTGTGTAAGTGGTGGTGGGGGAGAGACCGGAGACTACTTATTCTTATTCTTATTCTTCGACCACTACTATTTCTTCGGGCCATTAGCACTCGCTCCAGAACAGCAGCAGCAGCAGCTCAGTGGCCTACTA